AGGCCCCCCAGTGGAACAGCGGTATGTCTGCGGACTTACAACACTAGAAACCGGGTTTCGATACCCGTGGTGGGCAGAGCACAGATAGCCCATTGTGCAGCTTTGTGCTTAACTTCAAACAAACAATTAAAAAGGCGCAGATGTAAATGATGAAATCATATCTTAATCACACATTTGATTCTTAGGGTGAATAATTAACAGATTGTTACAAAGAGTGTTTAATTTCACTCGAATATAAATTCACACACGTAGAAGTAATTGTAAGGACATAAAGTTAAGAACAACAAGAAACGTCAAGGATAGCAGAGAAAAATCTTAATGGTAATTAGAAATTGTCAACTTTTAGAAATGGCGGCGGAAGACATGGCAGCGATTAATGATAGATATGAATTATTTTGATCGATTAATACATGGTCTATGCCACGTTGTATTATGCTTGATATTCATTCAAATAAAATACTACAGGTGTTTTAATATACTGACAACATAATTAAATTTTTGTTTCAAATGAATACGAACTTGTATTAAAAAAATTAAATTTAGTTTTACAATAGGTTCAAAATCGCAGACTATTATTAACAACTGCCTAATTCATCTTTTCGTCCTATTTCGGGATTACTTTTCATCATCATTAATGTGTCTTGAATGATACTATAATATCTTTTATAGTTTCCATAGCTGTTTCGTCAGTCATTGAAAACGCAAAATAACACAGAACCTAAAGCAAATGATACGAATGGTTGCCGGTAAAATTTACGTCATTGTAAGCTCTATAATAAACAGAAAGCGTCTTTAATGAGTAAGAGTTTAAGAAATCATTGAAATAGAAAAATACAAACGCACATGTGTATGTATGTATGTGTGTATGTGTATATATATATATGTATGTGTGTATGTGTATATATATATATGTATGTGTGTATGTGTATATATATATATATATGTATGTGTGTGTGTGTGTATATATATGTATGTGTGTATATATATGTGTGTGTGTGTGTGTATATATATGTGTGTGTGTGTGTGTGTGTATATAACCTGTGAGACCTTTATTTTCCGTTTTTATCAGGCTATATTTCTGTGCGCCAGCAATTCCAAGCGTGGGGCGCACGTATACCCAATTCGATTTTATTACTCATCAGGATCTCTACCAGCCTACCCTCAAATTGAAATTATTTTAAGCACGCTTAGAGTAAATTAAGCTATGAGACGTTGGACTTGGTCACGTACATCAATCGAAAGGGTTTGACCTCCTGAGTCCAAAATTGTAGCTAGATCTCAAATTAGTCAAGAGATGACGGAGCTACGAACTAAAAGTTTGTACTTGAAAAAAACGAAAAACACAAACTAAGAGCCATTTTATGAGCCGCTATGCCGCAGCTAATAAACAAATAAAGACCAACTTAGTCCAACGAAAGCCTCTCATAACTAATTGGTTCCTCCGTAGATTTTGGTTTGTAGTCCTTAGACGATATTTTTGGTAAAATAAAAGCCTCACGGATAACAAGTAATGCGTGAATTACGAACCAGGCCCGGCATCGGCAGGTGGTTAGGGCGCTCGACTCACAATCTGAGGGTCGCGGGTTCGAATTCCCGTCTCACCAAACTTGCTCACCCTTTCAGCCGTGGACGTGTTATAATGCGTCGGTCAATCCTACTATTCGTTGGTAAAAAGAGTAGCCCAAGAGTTGGCGGTGGGTGATGTTGACTAGCTGCCTTCAATCTAGTCTATCACTGCTAAATTAGTGCAGATAGTCCTCGTGTAGCTTTGCGCGAAATTAAAAAAAAACAAAACAAACAATTACTAAGCCCTCATAGCCGCGTGGTCTTTAGTATGTATTCATTGGCTGATTGAGAAATTGGAACCAGTAGAGAGAGAGAGAATTAAGTGTGGGTACAAATATGTTTTAGATTATTTTAGTCTAACCTTCTCTGAGTGACATGTTACATATTTGTTGAAAATTGTAGGTTTTGCTTTTCTTGAAAGTAAAATTTACTCTAATCCTGCCTAAAAGAAGTTCTAGTGCCGAGGCTACTGACGATTCTCTCTTGTTTCTACTTGAGAAGTTATTATTGTGCGAGCAAACTCGTTCATGGACCATCAGCTAAAATCTAGTGAGAACCAAACTAGTTATGAGAGGATTATTTTGACTTAGGCTTATTTATTCTTTTTCTACCTGACAGGCTATTATTGAGAGAGTAAAATTGTTCAAGGACCACCGACTAAAATCTAGTGAGAACCCAACTAGTTATGAGAGGATTATTTTGACTTAGGCTTATTTATTCTTTTTCTACCTGACAGGCTATTATTGAGAGAGTAAAATCGTTCAAGGACCACCGACTAAAATTTAGTGAGAACCCAACTAGTTATGAGAGGATTGTTTTGACTTAGGTTTATTTATCCTTTTTCTACCCGACAGGCTATTATTGAGTGAGTAAAATCGTCTGAGAATTATCAATACATATCTAGTGAGAATCAAGTTGATTATGAGAGGTTTAATCTTTTTCTACCTAAGACTGTTGTTGTTGTGTAACTAAAGTCATTTGGGGGATTGAAACGTAAACTCAACAAACAACTAGATTTGTGGTACATTACACTGAATGACAAACTTGTGGTAGACATTACACTGAACAACAAACTTGTGGTAGACATTACTCTGAACGACAACATTAAACATTTATACATATGCATTTTTCTGTTATTGTCAGTCTTCGCTAGGGATCATTGTTGTGAGGTGTCTATAAGATGACAACTTTAATTATGCTTATCATTTGTACGCTATGAAACGTTCCGTAGATCAAAGTGTGTATTTGGTGAAAGCCAATATACCATTTTTTGATTTAACAAATAAACAGTTTAAATATTGTGTATTTTTTTTCTGTTCGTCGTTTATACATCAATCTACGTGAGGCTTAACACGTTATTGTTGATGCAACTTAACGTCTCAATTTTACTAACCTATTCTGAAGAATAACTGATTGTTGACACTATCCTGGTTAACTTTATAATAGCTATTTTATTTCGGAAATAAGTCTTGAAACTAATGAAGCTAAATTTATTTACCTTGTGAAACTTGCTATTCAAAAGTTCCCATTATCCCAAATTAGATAGTTTTAATTAAAGTCATACAGCAAGAAACGTGATTAAATTATTTAAAGGTTTTGGAATGACCCAGTTATTTGAGGGGGGAGAGTGTTACAAATTATGAATATCTCACTGAAATGCCTTTTATACTGAAGGGCAAAAATAAAAAAAAAAGGTAAATTGGAGTAGCAGTTTGAATCTTAGCCACAGACTCGCTCGCCCATAGCGACTGATGACGATAATATCTAGTTAAAGGCAAGAAAGCAAGCATGCTTGTACTTTGTTAATGCTGTTCCAAATCGCTGGATTTTATTGATACAGTCGGATGGCTGCAGGATATGCGCTACATATCAAAGAAATCTGCCTCGTTTGCCTATGCCATTGGAACTTCTTTAAGCACTGTGAACAAGGTTGCCTACGTTGTATGTTTTGTGACTAAACTAACGAGAATGTCCTCCCAAAATGTCGTTAAGGAATAACGATTTCCGATACTTGATTAACTTTTATCAGGACCTTCCAGTTTTAATATCATTATAACTCCCCTTATCACGATCGTTGTGCGTTTAATCAACAAAAGATCTCTCTAGAAAATCGATACTAAATTATTTCTTCCGGCCAAACGAAGCTGAGAATGAATTTGCAGGTAAGCCTATTTTGAACTATATTTATATACGTGTCTTGTCTTTTAATTACGTTGTAATTTGATAGTTATTAGTATTTTTACCCTATTCCGTTTGTTAATTGCTTACTATTTTACGTTTACTGATTTTGTTGCTGTTAAGAAGCAAACTTTTGTTCTTAAAATGTCCAATAATCTGGGAAATATGTTAATAAGTTAGTATCTCGTTATTGTCTTGGAATTGGTATTTACTACCTGACTGGCCCTTCAGTTAGACCCCACACGGATATTACACACCCACTCCTCTCCCACCATACACACACACTTTCAGGTACATCCCCCAATTTTTTCATACTTGTTTACTATACTTTAAATTTGATCTGTAATATTTGTAGAAGTCATAAAATTCATAGTGAATGCCTTATATCATTTGGCTTAGGAATTACACAAATGTGCCACGAGGTGGCTACTGTGATGGTGGATACTCTCTAAACCCGGTCAAATGAATAAAATTTACCAGTTCTAGTAAAAGGATTGCGTTAGAAATAAAAAAATAATAAAATAAAGTAGTTCCCAACATATTTTGTTTCAAATATAGATCCAATTTTATTAAAAAATAATTGTATTAGATTAGAAAAAAACAACCTGCTAAACGTTTAGACCTATACTATCTTAACTGACATTTATACACAATTTTATGACTGGCACAGACAAAAGGGTTAAATTATGATACTTTAATTTTTCTCTTCCTGATCAAATGACTCGTGTTGTAAATGGAATATTTTATTACTGCTAAAGTAGTGGCTTAAAGCTTAGAAAATATTAATAAATCAATACCATACTCGAATCACTTAGAACGAGTAACTCAATAGCATAGTTAAGTGACTTAAGATGAATAACTCTGCAACGCAGTCCAGTCCTTCAAGACGATACTTTCTACAACAACCTAATCATTGTTACCATCGTTTCGCAAGTCTTATGAATATGTAAGATCTAATTTTTCTTCTCTCGACCTGAAAATACGCCATTACGGTTTAAAAATAAATAGACTGAGACTTTTATAGCGAGCCAAAAAATCGTTTAACTTGTGTTGTAAGAGTTTTATCTAAGTTTGATAAAATACTAACATTACTTACACCTAAACCAAAAGTATATAAACTACAATATTAATGTGAACAAGAAGCTTCCAGTAAGTTTGCTTCTTTATTTAACGTATAGATTTTCCAGTACTGAACAATTTTGAATGAAGTTTTTGTTTATATAGACAACATATTTTCTATTAAACCTCTCATAACTATGGTACATTACACTGAACGACAAACTTGTGGTAGACATTACACTGAACGACAAACTTGTGGTAGACATTACACTGAACGACAAAATTGTGGTAGACATTACACTGAACGACAAACTTGTGGTAGACATTACAGTGAAGGACAAACTTGTGGTAGACATTACAGTGAAGGACAAACTTGTGGTAGACATTACACTGAACAACAAACTTGTGGTAGACATTACAGTGAAGGACAAACTTGTGGTAGACATTACACTGAACGACAAGCTTGTGGTAGACATTACACTGAACGACAAGCTTGTATTAGACATTACACTGAACGACAAACTTGTGGTAGACATTACACTGAACGACAAACTTGTGGTAGACATTACACTGAACGACAAACTTGTGGTAGACATTACACTGAACGACAAACTTGTGGTAGACATTACACTGAACGACAAACTTGTGGTAGACATAACACTGAACGACAAACTTGTGGTAGACATTAAATGAAGGACAAACTTGTGGTAGACATTACACTGAACGACAAACTTGTGGTACATTACACTGAACGACAAACTTATGGTACATTACACTGAACGACAAACTTATTGTACATTACACTGAACGACAAACTTGTGGTACATTACACTGAATGACAAACTTGTGGTAGACTACACTGAACGACAAACTTGTAGTAGACATTACACTGAACAACAAACTTGTGGTAGACATTACACTGAACGACAAACTTGTGGTACATTACACTGAACGACAAACTTATGGTACATTACACTGAACGACAAACTTGTGGTAGACATTACACTGAACAACAAACTTGTGGTAGACATTACACTGAACGACAAACTTGTGGT